CGGAGCTGGGCGGCGGGCGGACCCGGAGTCCTGGCCCACGAACCCTTCGGGGAGGCAGAGCGCGGTCGGGCGGATCTTCGTCGGCGTCGCCGGCGGCCCTTCCGTTATCCGGACGGGCAGGCGGACGCATCTCTGCAAAGTGACCTCGGAAATCCAAACGGAATGACTTTGTTTCACTCTCCCTCCCCACCCTTGCCCAGGAGTTCGCGAAACTCAAAAGACTTCACCCGGAGATCTTAGCCTCTGTGCGTTTAAGGTCTGCAGCACACAACAGTGTAGGTCCGCCTGTGCTTGTAAACACAACTCTTGAGATGCATCCCGGACGTTGCTAAGAGCAGTTACCGATATTATTAGTATTATTATTATTATTATTAATTTTATCATCGAGCAAAAACGAAAAAACCCCAAACCTTCAGTTTACTCTGAGGCTACTTTTTACTTTCGCCTCACTTGTCATTAGCTTGTAAAGTGACTCCGATAAACCATTGTTTTCTACGTGAGTAGAGCATTCTGGAATAAAGCTGATGAAACCTGGACACTTTTTGGCATAAGCTGATTCATAGTTTCAAGGGAGCGTATTAACACATTTTTATTCCTGCACTGCTGCCCTCTTTTATCAGGACACCAAAGAACTGAAACACGCATCTCTACCTCCTTCATTTCCATTTTTCTTGGAGTAGTCTGTGAAGACAACACAATATTGTACACTTTCTGACCCTTTCTCCTCATTTTGACGAGTGAAAAGGTATTAGAAGTTATCTACAACATTATAAGAAACAAGAATGTACCTCCTTTTCCATCCCTCTTTCCTGGGGAAACTGGAATCCACTTTTGCATTGTTTTAACTTTCTTTATGGGCTTTATTTTTAATATTTTATCCTTTAAAGTGGAGCACATGAATTATTCTTTTTAAGCATTCCAATTCCTTCAGCCTTTTTTGTTTTGTTTTTGTTTGTTTGTTTGTTTGTTTTGCATGAAAGAAGTGTCAAACCTGCATCTAAATAAAGTGTTCTTTTCCACCAACTTGGTGCTTATAAGAGAATTAAAGGAGCCCTCATATGTGTGGCCTGTGTACGGTTGGAGACCTGCAGCTGTGCTTCGTTAAAAACAAAACCACTGCTGACCTCAAAACACATGTGCCACCCCTGACAGCGTCCTCTTCCTTTCCGTTTGTGACTGGTGCCTTCTTCAAAATGAGTGTTTGGAATGATTTCCTGGCAATAATCATGGTGGTTGTTGGGCCTTCTAAAGAAGGCTTTGATGCCTTGTATGTCAATCTTTCACTATAACAAACAACCTCAGAAAAAAACAATAAAAGTTGGGCAAATGAAGGGCCTGTTTTCCTATCATTGGCATTCCTTTTCTAGAAGAAATACAGAAGAGGTTAGAAGTCTAGTAATCACTTTAGTCTCTTTTTTCTGATGTAGACTAAAGGAGTATTATATTTGAAAAAACTGAGGTTGTTAACTGGTTTATAGATTGACACTGCAGTTTGAAACACATCCTAGTTCTTCTGGATCATGTTTATCAAAATTCATAAAGGATTTTAATGTTCCTTTGTATTTTTACTGCAAAATATCATTAACACATTCTATCAGTATATATTTTTAAGAAGCATTTGGATCATTCTAGATTTAAAAGTTTGAAATAGGTGGGCATTTGTAGTTTGAAATAGTGTATAAGTTTTTATTTCACAATTTAATAGTCAATGTCTATTTTAGCACCTATTCCTTACAGTAAAAATATTTTCAATAATTTACTATGCATAGTTTAAGATATCTTATAATGGAATTTTCAGAAAAGCATGGTTTACCTTTAAAGTTAGTATCTAATTACAGTGTTATAAATTTAAATTCTTTTTCTGTTTTTCTCCAAACATGAGACAGATTGTGATTATTTTCATAATTTATGTTATTTAATATATTGACTTCACCTGCATACCCAGAAGTAGCCAAGAGGCATTGAGGTGTAGAATTTATTGCTGCTAGCCTTAGTTTCCTCTTGATCTTAAAGGTTGATGAGAATGCAGGAAAATTACATCACACAATTGTACTTAGTTGCTCCATGATGATGAATGCGAAGTGCTTGCAAATACCATACAAGTGTTGTTTGTAAAAAACAAAAAAAAACAAAATGTTGACTCCCCAAACAGTTGACTCTTGGAGAATCCTACTTGACCCAGGGATGGCCATTACCTTAGTGTACAGATCCTGTATTAATATGGAAGACACCTATTTACAGTGAAATTAGGTTCACGTTAAAATTCTCCTACCCAGCAGTTGTGGGGTTTTATTTTACTTTATTAAATATGTTTTTGTTTATTGATACTGGGTATCGAACGCTGGACTTTTTGCTTGAGAGGCCAGGCACAGTTAAATCCCCGGCTCTGTTTATTGAATATTTAATTGCTTTTTAGTTGCTAAATGTACTATCTTCACTATATAGGATAGAAAGAAGTATAAAATACTTCCTGTACTGAAGACTTTCAGAAAGTTTGGTGATGTTGGAAATGTTCTTTATGCTGTATGTGTACCTATGAAGCATTTGAAATGTGTTAATGTGAATAAGGAACTGGGTTTTTAAATTTAGTTTATATCATGGTTCTGTATGCCCAGTGACTAGTGGATTTCAAGGTTTGCATCTAGATGGAGGCCTAAGACCTACCTGCATGAACAGTAAATTAATTCTGCAAAGCAGTTTAGGGTAAAGGCCGTATGGCAAGTTCCTTAGGAATAGAGAGGAGACTGGGTAAATTTGGGGCAGGACTCTTACAAGGTCTTACAAGTCAGAGGAAACCAAAACCTGTACTGGGAGCAGGGAATTGATCAAAAATAACAAAATGTGATTTAGAGGATACTATAGAACAGATTCTGAAAGTTCTTAACTCTCTGGCCTAATTTTTCCTGTTCCTTTCATACATTGAACAAAAGAGTCAACTCTTTTTGATAGCATGATACTACTCTCATATACTGTATGGGGCAAAGAGCTGGGAATAGATTGGTAAACAGAATAGAAATAGCCCTGATTCTTACTGGAACTTTAAAGGATTCAACACACAGATTGAGAAGAGGCAAAAAGGATGAGAAAGATATTTTGAAAAAAAAAAAAAAGTAACAGGGAATTCTTGAAGCTCAAGATAGTTCTTTCTGAGGAAATAACATTTAAATTGAGACATGAGGAATGAATAGTTGGCATAAGGAGAATATATCTTCTAAGCAGATCAGTTCCAATGAAAAATTTTCAGTAAGGGAACAGTAATAAATGGTAATTTTAGTTTGCCTATAAATTGAATTAAAGGATAGGAAATCAGAGTCTAGTAGTTTTCTTATATTTGATTTTTATTTATTCGTATTTGTTTAAACAGTGGTAAAGTTGTGAAAATTTGAGTTCAGAGTTTAAGAGTCCTGGATTTGCATCCTTACCTACCCTCTTACTTACGGAGTAGATAAGCTGTTTTAAATGTAAGGAACAGAGTTAATATCTGTGATAGGAATACTGAGCTTCCTCTGGAAGCCAATATTCCCCATTGTGAAGCAATGCACTCAGATGCTGTATACTGTATATGATCTATGTGAATTTACTGGCTGCTTCATGCCTTTCAAGCAACCTAAAAAAGTAACCTTAAAAAATAAGCCTTTATCTTAGAGAGGATTAGAACTTTAATGCAGTCTCAAACCTTGATGTCTTTAAAAATCTTATGATGTTGGTAATTTGGGTGGTATTTACTTGAGCACCTTGTTAAATACCAGGAATCTTAAATGGCTAGAGACCTAACTGTAAAAACACTGAAATTTAGTGGTGGTAAAAGGGTCACAAATTCCTCTTACAAGACTATTTTGTGAGGAAATAACTAGAAATGTATTGGGTATTTATAGCACATTCCTTGCAGCCATTAAAAGTAATTGCGTAAGAAAATGTATGTGAATGGCTTGGTTTTGTTTTAAAAAAAAGATACAGGATGCTCCTACTTTCTGTACAATACTTAACAAAAAAAGAATAGATATGCCAGGATAGGGATTTAGCTCAGTTTGGTGGCCTGCCTTGCAAGCGCAAGGACCCAAGTTCAATCCGCAGTACAAAAAAAAAAAAAAAAACAAAAAAAGAATAGATATCTGGACATTAATAATGGTGAAAGATGGCTTTGAGTTTGTGCTTTTCCTAAGTTTTCAACCTTTTTTTGAGTATGAAGTTAGAATTTAAACTGCCAGAAACTAAGAAGGAATTGCTGTAAATACTGTTTTCCTCTTTGATCTAATGTCTAGGGTTTTAGGATAAGTATCAGGCGGCCCAAATTGTTAATTTAGCTAGCAATATGATTTTTATCCCTTTAGCCTCATTATACTTCAGTTTCCTCATCTGGTAAAGTGACAACCAAGAAAGAGGAGGTCTTAAATTCTATTCAAAATTATCTGAGAAAGTAGACTGTGAACTAAGGGCATAGGCATGGAAGTCTGAAGTCAAACATAATGTTATTTGGAAAACTACTGATCTGCCTGTCTTTATAAGTAAGTACTATATATTTTAGGAAGCAGCAAACCACTATATCTTGGGGTCACATAATTTGACGAAGACTTAACATTCTTTGTCTCCGCTCATTATCTATTAACCGAGGAACTTTACTGGCTGACCTGTATTCAGTCTCTTAAAGGAATTGATTGGTTTTCATAACAGGGAGGATATTATTCCTGTGTTTTAGATAAGGACCCTGATGACAAATGTCTTAACAAATTCATCTTGACTGTCATTGGTAAAAGAGAGACTGATTACATTTTCATTCCTGTTTTTGTCTGCACATTCTACTGCTACTCTTTCCATGTGTTTTTTTGTTTCCTAAAGTTTGACATTCTTTGTTATAACTGTTTTCATTGTTCTAACATGCAAATAACTGCTGAGTTTTTCTCTCATAAAATTTGAAAGCTGAATAAGATCTACCCAATTTGTTTTATTGGAGATATAATGCAATTCCACTTTTTTATAAATGAGGAAAACAAGATCTGTAGAGGCCAGAGTGGTATGTTTGCCCAATGTTGTTTTCAGTACTGGATGTTACAAAAAAATCAGAGGTAATGTTCTTTTTTAAGGTTGAGAAGTGACAACCTTTGAAAACTATTTGAATATTAATACTGAAGTGTTAGGATAATCAGTTTTTCTCTAAGCAGTTGCTGAGTACCTGCTATCTCTAAGGCATTTTGTTTTTAGAAGGGTGGTGTGTTTTCTAATTATGCAGGTGGCTTTGTCATGTAATTTAGGCACCAAATTAGTAGTTGGGCATTTTATTTCTGGTAAAACTAGTGCTTTTTTGCATTGTGAATTTAATGTTATACAACTATGCCCAGAAGCCAAGATTATTTTATTATTTTTACCATAACGTTTATTCTTTTAGCATCCGCGGTTCTTTGAAGTGTTACAGATGGTTATTATATCTTAGAAGAAAGAATTTCCTGAAAAATTAAGTCAAGGGTATTTCCTTTAATTGTTGTTTTGTTTTTTAAATGTTCTACTTTATATAGTAAAACATGAACACCAGAAACTAGTAGATTGTCATATATTAGTCTGGTATACTAGATACACCTGGTTACCATAACAGTGGGTTTGATTTACTTCAAGGTATTAACCAAATATTTATGGTATTAACCAAATATAAATGGAAATACATATTTTTTTAATTCTGGACATTGACCTCAGATGCCTTCTCAACATTGCTCCCATATTTTCTACAGAACCTTATTTGCATAATTGGAAGGGGAAAATGATAACATTTTATTATAGGTACTGACCAAACTCTTCAAAAAACTTCTCTTTGAAGTCTGAGGCCACTTTATTTCATTCATTTTTGCATTTTGAGAACCTAAAAGTTTTTGCAGATACTAATATATGACAGTACTATTGACAAGGTATTTGGAAACAGCTTGAATCTACTGAATGTGTTTGTCTGGATAAAATATCTCTTTAGAGTTACATTAGTTTGAAAGAATTTTAGTGACTTGTATCCTTCAGAGTACCCATTGTTATTGACATAGCCCTGTGTCACTACTGAAGTGATAGGTGGAAAGTAGGTTACCTCTGAGCTCTCTGGTTTCAAGTTTCCAGGAGGAATTTTATTAGAGATCAACCACGTCCTCCAAATTTATGACAGTTGCTCTAACAAGACCCCCCCAAAAAAAGATTTGTTTTCTTATAACCTGTAATTGAATTGATTTTCCCTAAATACATTTATCATTATATTTTTGACAGTGGAATTCCAGTGACATAAAATGTATTGCTACACACAAACTCTGAAAATCATTTTTTAATTTTGTTTTTAAAGACATATTTAAAAATTTATAAACATTCAAAATAATATTTCAAGTATTCTTGTTAGTAGGAGTTACCCATTAAACAAAAGAAATTTTGAGAGAGGATGCTTTGTGACAGCAAGAATTGTAGCTTTATAGTGGAAACGTGTATAGGTTATGCAAAAATATTTTTATGTGTGTTACTTTGTTAAGTCAAATGTTGTACATATTGATTGTTAAATCTCTGCCTGCTCTGTAAGTTTTTAGCTTATGTGGAGGTGGATTGGAGGATACAGTTGTTACTGTAGATCTAAATGATCAAATTCTGAAATGAATTTTGTATTTAATATTTATTAGGATTTTTTTTTAAAATACAGAAAGTATAGAGGAAACAGAGACATAAGTCATTTACAAATGGGAAAGGGACCAAGAGCTGGAGGAAGGGAAAGGGAAGAAAGGGGAAGTGGACATAAAAAGAATTAAAATATGTTACGTACATGTACCAACTCCCCACAATACATGTAATCATGTACTGCAAACATTAACTAATAAAAATAAAAATTTGCAAAACACTAAATTTAAAAAGTAGGAAAAATTTATAGCAACATAATTTTAATTGATAATTTTTTCTGCTTCACATTTATTAGCGGGCAAACATGAACATTTGTTTGCATTTTTTAAAAATAGGGAGAATGCGAATGACTAGTTTAAATTCTATAAAAATAAAATCCTTCCTTAATACTTTCTCCAAAAGTTTAATATCCTTCTAAAAAAATTTTAACGTTATCTATGTATCTTTTAAATAAGAAATTATACAAAAGGCTCTGTGCTGTATATTATGTCCAGTAGTCTGCTTTTTAATTATTCAACACACTTTGGCAACCTTTCTATACCAAAATATGCAGATCTTAATTTTTTTTAATAGTTTAGCACATGGATGGGCTATACATTTTTTTGTACCTGGTCTTACATTGATAAACATTTAAACTGGTTCCTGTTTTATTGCAGTGAACATTCTATTCATGTTTTAGGATAGGATAAATTCTTGTCAGTGGAATTATTTAGTACAGTACAGTATTTAAAAATTTGAAAGCTATTTTCAAATTACCATTCAAAGATGATATCATTTTTTACTCTTGGCAGAAGTAATCCATCACAATTTCTGCCATATATTTGCCATTACCACCAAATTTTATTTTTTGTTTTTTATTTTTACTATAGTAGGTAAGTTAAAATTTTAAAGAAAAGGAAATACGTGGGGTTTTTAGAAAATTTTCGAAAAAGCCAGTATTACTTTTAATTCTTTGTTATGTTTTATATATTAAGAGATGAAATTGGCCTGATTCCATGTCCTGAAGCAAGGTATAACCGGAGTCCCATAGTCCTGGTTGAAAACAAACTTGGTGTGGAGAGCTGGTGTGTCAAGTTTCTTTTACCATACGTCCACAACAAACTTCTTTTGTACAGAACAAGAAAGCAATGGCTGAACAAAGATGGTAAGTATGAACCATACCGTCTGGTTTTTAGCAGCAGCATGGAATATAGTGGATGGAACCCTGATTTGAGTGTTGAGATTCTAGTTTTGGCTCTTCCCTTAGGTACTTTCTGGGCACATGAAGAATTTGGACTAGACCATTAGTTTTTAAATTTTACAACTTCAGAGATTATATGGCAGTACCTTAAGCCAGATTCCAGGCCGCCTGCTACAACCAAAGCAGTTCTTATTTTATGTATTCATGTTTTGAGTCATTTGTAAGATTTTATTTGAAGAAAGCATCCTTTCTTAAAAACATGCAGGCTTAAAAAATGCCCAGCTTCTGATTTCTGATCTTTTAGTGTTTTATGGGCAGAAGATCTAAATGAGATCATGGAGATATCATCATCATGGTATAGTTATGGTATGAACCAGCCCAGTGATTTAGGAACGTGCTATTGAGCTGTGAATCCTAATTGAGCTCTGGCCTTCTGAGACCTATTCCTGTGCTGAAATGGGCAAAAGAAAAACCATCTCAACATTCACTTCTTTTAGTCTTCTAAAGAATTCTTTACTGTAGTAGAACATTCCTAATTATCCTACCTATACAGTTTCTTGGTGTTCCTCCATATTCAGCCTTCATGTGTACAAATTCTGTCTGTCCCTTTGGGCTCACCTCAGGTCTCACCTTTTGGGGAGTACTCATGTCCTCTACTGTTATTGTAAAACTTCTTTCTCTTTCCACATACAGCAGTATGTTTAAAAGTGCTCCTTGTGGCTGTAGGCTGATTTTTAAATTTTATTTATTTATTTTTTGAGACAGGGTGTCACTGTGTAGTTGAGGCTGACCTTCAACTCACGATACAGCCCAGGCTGGCCCTGAACTCCTGGCAATCCTCCTGCCTCGGGTTAAGAACTTTCTTTTCCAGCAAATGTTAATTATCAGTTTGATAGTCATTACCAAGAGCCTACTCATACCAGAAGGTGTTCTAAGTACTCTGTGGGATAAGGAATGATAAATGGTTTATTCTGGAAGTTTATGGTTGAGTGATAGTCTTCTTAGAGGTAGGGGACAGTGTTGCCAAAGGTATCACTGATTTCCCTGAATTCCTCTCAACACTGACCTTAACATACTGTCATAATAATAAAAGTGTTTAATTAGAAATAGTTTCTGTTTTCTGTGTGATTATTTCACTTGGTTAGTACTCTGGTACTAATGAGAAGGCTATGCCTAAATTCAGACATAATTTGATTGCATGACCTAAGTGAGTAGCATAAACTTTAATGTGTATTTAGACACAGACTTAAATGTCAGGGTATTTATCTTTATTTAGATATTCTTTATTACTCTAGTCCATCACCAAATCATAGGTTTCAGTAATATGGAAGTAGACAGTAGCACCATATGAAACCAAGTTTTTGTTTTTGTTTTTGTTTTTGCCACATGAAGCTGTGTATCATTTTTATTCTGCTGTGTAGAAATACGTAATTGGGCCAATACATATCTGGTTTTGGTTTTGGTTTTTTTTTGGGGGGGTGGTTGGTTTTTTGAAACAGGGTCTCACTATGCAGTTGAGACTGACCTGGAACTCACTATGTAGCCCAGTCTGGTCTCGAACTCATGGAGATCCTCCTGCCTCAGCCTTCCAAGTGCTGGGATTACAGGCGTGCGCCACCATGCCTGGCAATACATATCTGTTATGTGGGGGCCAAGGAGAGATGGAATGATTCAATATGGAAGAAATAATATGAATTTTTAAAAGTCAGGTTGAGTTACAGTATTTCATAACATTAGCTTTTGCCTGTTGATAGATACCAGCCCAACCCACCTTCTTCCTATAGTCATCAAGTTCTTTCCTCTTGTCCTTCTGGGCTCTGTACTACAGGCGTTGCTCTGTCTCCCTGTCAAATACTTTTAGTCTTGATAGACCCATGAGGGCTTACATAGATGATCAGGTGCTTAAGCTTGCTCGCTCGATTATCTCGTGTCATAACTTTTGAATTCTAATACAACTGTGCATATTCACAGAAGTTTGATTTTATTCTATCCTGTATCCTCATGGAATAAGGTTTTAATTTAACTTTTTTGAGGGAGCAACATAGTTTAATGTGATATCACCTACTGTTCAGCTTATTATGTAATCAGTGAAAATGAGTAAGTAAATTTCCGACTTGACAGAAAAAGATATATGAAAATGCTGACTGATGGAAGAGTATCTGCCAGACTTATGAACTGAAGCAATTAGAGCGCAGAAGTGAATCTGGCTAAGGAATCTTGCTGTGTCAACAATATTAGGAAAAAAAAGTTATTTCATGAATGTTTCCTTTTAAAACTATTTTGCAGAAAATACCATATGTGTAAGAAAAGCCAGGTAGGAAAGCTGACAACTTAAAGAATAGTTCAAAATGTCAGTGTCTATGTTATTGTTCAGGCTAGAATACTAAGCGTCTATGTAAAGGGGACCTTTATTTCTGGGGTAGATTTTTTTCTCTTCTTAATTAAACTAAATTCATGTTCTTCTAACCATAGCAGTTTCCTTAGATATTTAGAAAGCATTTAATTAGAGATTGCGTTTTTTTAAATTGCTATAATAGTAGCCATATTTGGTTTGGGAGAGGAATGATACTGTAATTTGGATTTTTGAGAAATCTATGACAAAAACAAACAAAAAAAAGACAGGAAAAGACCCCAGCATTAAGAATATGGACTAGGCAGAGATCTGTCCCACACTGTGTTTGAGTCTTGTGCCCTCCTGTTGCTTTTTACTTTTACTTTCTTCCTTACAATCCCGTATCTCAGTCTGTAGCTAAGCTGTCTCTTTAAAGGCCATTTTCTGCTCTGTACTTCTGTAGCTGGCTAGACCTTCGTTATTCCTCGTAACTGGTCGGTTCCATTTTCAGGCTCTTCTATAACCCCTGTCCTTCACACAACTAATGAAACACTAAACAGTACCTCCAGCATTGCTTTTGAAGGCAGGGTGCCACAACCTCATGACCAAACCAGGAACGCTTCTTAAAAACCTTTTGAGAAGTGCTTTTCTGAGGTATATATTTGCTCATCTTATTTGCACACATGTCTGCTTGTCTTATTTCATGATGCCTACAGAGTCTGTATAGAGTTTAAACTCATTAGCATCATATTCCAAGCTGTCCACAGCCTAACCTTCCTCACCAGTGTCTTCTTCACTTCATATACAACATTTGAGGCTGCAGACAAGGAAGCTTGTCTATAGATTTATTTCATTTTGGCTTGTATAATGTTTTAATAATTGTGCTTAATTAGTTGAATAAATGTTGAAAATCTAGGCTTCTGTCTTCACTTGAAAAATCAGGAAGCTTGTGTACACACATTTCTGCACAGCAGTTGGCTGTGCCTCAGTCCTCTACTTTTATTAAATGGACAATTCTTTGGGTTTGTTGCATCTTTTCTGCCTTTCAGACATTGAGGCATAGTGGTACTTACCACTTCTCATCAGTTTTGATTTTCTGCTTTTATGACATTCGCCTGAATTGCATTTGTAGCCTTTTGATACCCATTCTAGCAACAGATCACATTATTCCATTCTCTGACATGGCTATGTACTCCTGTCTGACTTTCATGCTTTTGCTGAGGCCATCCTCATCTTAATGTTATTGTGGGTGTGGTTGTTAGCATAAGCATACATGTATGCTTATCCTCAAGCCTGTTAAGTATTTTTGACTGCTTCAGGAAACAATAATTCTGTACACTCTTACAGGAGTTCTTTATTCAGACAGTTTGCATGTTAACACTTGCCAAGCTATATTGTAGTTGATAATTTAAACAAGATTTTCCCCTACTGGTTTGTGAGTTAGGAGTAAAGGTTATGCCTCTTCTTTCTTTGTTTATGTAGCACATTTCTGTGCTAAACAAACCCTTATCAAATGAATAACATGAATTTGGTAAGCAAGAGTTCTTAGCTTAGTCTACCTATAGATTCAGTAACTCTGCACTATAATAAACATAACTTTACATTAATCCTCTCTTCATCAGTTATCTGAATATATTTTGGAGGAAGAAATTAACCAGTGCAAGTTAACCCTGCATTTATTTGTAGATGCATAAAAGTCTTTATCAGACAGTTGTCAAAACTCATTGACAATTACCAGGTGCTGCTGGCATTGGACAATTTCTAGAATGCAATACAGCAAAGAATGCATATTAATTTTTCTCTGACTCTGTCACATCCTGTGTTCTTTCATTATTACAGCTACAGTTTAGCTGCTTTTCTTGTATATAATGTGACCTGATTTCATTTTCTCCCTGTGATATGATGATGGGCTAGTAGTATATTGGAATGTGTGTAATGAACATTTTTTTGCTGGTGTATTTTCTGATGTGTGGAGACAGGCCTATTTAATTTCAAGAGATTGTAGTACTTTGAGTAGCTCATATATTTTGGGTAAGGCTACAGAAGAAATAATGCATAATTGGCAAAATTTAGAGAGTAAATTAATTACAGTAAGCTCTTGATTATATATGTTTTTCTTAGGTTTTTGGTTTAGTCCTTTCTGCAAAGGGCAGACTACTTGCCTATAGTGTACTAATGTGGAAAGAGCATCTGCTTTGCAGGAAGACAGACCTGAATTGAAATACTCAGTTCATCAACATCTGAAAGTCACTTAACAGTGACTTTAGGCAGATTGCTTAACCTCTTTTTTCCTGGGAGGGAATACTAATTAGGATCTCATAGATTTTCTATGAGGATCTTTTTCTTAAATTATATCCATTGATTTCTGACCTAGTTACCTTTCCTTGGTTAGCCCTTTCCTGTTTCTTTTTTTTTTTTCCTCATTGAGTTTATTGGTACATTTTAGGTATACATTACAGTTCTATTCATCATTAGGATCTTGTACCTTTACAAGACAGGTCTTGGTTCTCATTTTTTCCCCTTACCCCTGCCCTCCCTTTACCCCTTCCCTTCCCTATTTAGAAACACTTTATTTCCATTTTTTCATTTTCTCATATTTTTTTCTTTTTCCTTATTTCCTTTCCCCTACACCCTTTCCTATTTCTGACATTTCACTTTTCCCCGAGTTCTTGGATGGAAACTTGACCCTCAGTCAGGAAGACCTGTATTTGTATATGCTACTAATTTTGTTACTGATGATTGGTCGATGCTGTTGATGTTTTAAATCCTGAGATTCCTAGAAGCTGGAAAAAATCCCTCTGTTCAGGAATCATTGCCTAGCCAGTTGAGATTTTTTTTTTCCTCTCTCTAGAGGGATCCAGTCCCATTATCGCTGTGGAACTGAACTAGGAGAAACAGGCTTTAGGATAGGAATTGGGTACTGTCCTGACACTTTATGGTTCTAATCGTGAATACCCCTATCCGGAAGTACTGTTGTTAGCTACATTTTACAGATGAGGATATTCTGAAGCACACACAGGGATTGGTTTGCCCAAGAAGTCACGGTAAGTGGTAGAACTAGGCCTTAATTCCAACAGCTACTGTAGCACTCCTAAGAGCACAGTCTTTTTCTCCATATAGCCATAAACTGAAAAGTGGGGGCTTAACTTTCTATGTTTATTTGTTAGTGTTTGCCTTATGCTGTTATACAGGAATCTCTCTTTTGTGAAGGATTAGCTTGTCTTCACTTACAGAGAGTAGGGAAGGATAGTTGTGTTAAAAGTGTATGCAATTGGCCAGGGATTTAGGTCCCACTCTTCGGCCACCTGCCTCACAAGTGCAAGGTCCCGAGTTCCATCCCTGGTACCAAAAACAAAACAAAAGTCCAAAATACATACAGTAGCAACTACCATTAGTTACACATTTTCTTTAATGTAGAAGGGGAGAGGCCAAGGGAAATGTGCCAGTTTATGTAGTAGTATAATGGCTTTTTGAAACATTGTAGACATCAAAGAGATTCTAGAAAAAGAGGTTCTTTCCCATCATGTCCAAACTTTTCCATATAGTTGCTAAACTGCTTAATTGGCTTCTGGTTCTTGTTATTTTATAAGTTTAGAAATTTAAACAGTTTCACTGTAGGAATAACTGCCTCATTATTTCTGATGTCTTTGATGTTGAACATATTCATTCTTGGTTGGTATGTAGCAATAGTATTTATTTAAATAAGTACTTAATTGAGCAATCACTGTATCAGACAGTGATTGGAGTAAATCTCACCATGCATAACACTGATATGACTATCCCCAGTTTCAGGTAATGAAAGTGAGGTTCAAAGAGGTTAAGTTTTGTAGGAGTAAGTGGAAAAGCTGGGATTCAAACCCAAGCAGAGTGACTCTTACCACTCCTTTGTACTGTGTACTAATATCAAACTTCATTTGTATGGAGGCCATATCTTATTCATCTTTACTCAGTACCTGGCTTATTGTAGATATTCACAAAAATTTGAAGATGTATTAAGGAGGAGTTGCCTCCTTAATTTATAGTCTATTTAAGAGGATAATATTTATATAAGTAATGAAGTATGATAACAAAAAAACAGATGAAAGATTTTTTTCTCACTAGGTAGGTCCTTCATGGAGAAAGATGCACTTAAGAATTCCTGAGATATAAAGTTTGTTATTGTTCTTTATGTTGGAATATAGGGAGATATTTCTGGTAGAAAGAATAGTAAGCAGATAAATCTGTGTTTCATCTAGAAAGAGAAGTTAGGCAGGTAGGAGCTATATTCAGAGGGTGGTGGGATTTGATTTCAGTCGAAGTTTAGCATGTGACCGGAAAACGTGAAATGCCAGGCTGATGAGATAGATACTGGGACCATGTTCTTAAAGCATTCATTTTTAAAAGTACTTTCTCTGTGTGCTCCCCATTATCTCATTGAGAACAGACTGTGTGAAGTTTCATGCCACTTCACCTTTGCCACACCTTTTCCATGGTCTGCAGTGCTTTTACCACCATATTCATCTAGTCACCCATAGGTTCACTAGTATAAGAATTGCAGCTTCTTTAATAGGCTTTGCAGTGTGTTATGTGCTTTTACTTCACAATTATTTTATTTTGGCCTATGTAAGTATTTGTATATATGTTCTTTCCAATTAAAGGTAACCTTGTAAAGGGCAAAATAAGGTTTTATAAGTATACTTATTGTTTTAGTCCTAAAGAACAAGTTTAATCTTTATCCATTGTCAATACTTGGAATATTAGTGGAATTAAATAAATGTGCTATATAGAACATTGTATTATTGTCCTTGGAAAATATTAAATTAGTGCCTAAAATTACTAAAAGTAAAAGAAGGAAGGGATTAATTAGATTATTCTTTAGAGCCATGTCATGTTTATGCATGTGATAACTTATGACAGGAAAAATGCAAGTCAAAATGTCTGCTGATCCTTTTGTTCATTATTACATGTGACAGTTTGCTCAGTAGTAATGAAATCATAAGTGCAAAATAAATGTTACTATCATTTATTAAGACGTGTGATAGTAGAATAATTGATTTTATTAACTAGAATATTTTTAAATAACTATAGGATGTACTTATGTGTAAACACTTAAATATTTTCTTCTTAGATTTTTAGAAGTTTATCTTTTACTTAAACATGGAAAATGTCCTAATTACTTGTGGTAGACAAATATTTTAGTTGCAGTATAATTGATTTGTTGAAATGTTAATTTGTCACATATAATTGAATGTTTGTACAAATTACTTAAACTTTACTCATTCTCCCTATCTATAAAGTAGGTTGAGTATCTTGGAGGTTGATTATGAGAATTCAATTAAATAATGTGGATGAAGTACTTAATATCAGGCCTAGTACACAGTAATGCTAAATAAATGATAATAATTATTTTTATTTAGTTACTTGACATCTAATGCATAATGCATGCTTGGTAAGGTTAACTATTAGTTTTATGCCTCTAAATTTAGAGTCTTAACCCTAGAAATTTTTTTATTTTCAATAAAATAAAGACAATATATCAACATTTTATTTTGTTCTTTTAAAAATAAGCTTCAGAGCTTATTTGAATTCAATAATTTTGTTAGGATTATAAGAGATAGCTTTAACAAAGAATAAGCTATTCATAAGTGAGCTGTAAGTAGACAAAATAAAAAACACATGAATAAAGTTGTAAATTGAAGTACAGATTTTTAATATTCACTGCATTAGGTTTGTTTTGCATTGCTGGAGATCCAACCTAGGGTCAAAGCGAGCACTTTGTCAATGAATTATATTGCCAGCCCTGTCATACCAAATTTTAAAAACAAAATTATGTAGGTCAGAATTACAATCACTTCTTTCACATTATTTCATTGAGTTTTCTTAAGTTTACTCATCTTACTGTTGGCATTATTAATAGTCCATTTGGAGAACAATTTACAAACACTGGGAGCCATACAGATTTTATATTGTTTTGATGTAGTTGTTCTACTTCAACACTGTAGCCAAAGAAAGGAATCTATAAAAGATCTGTTTTAAAATGTTTATAGTAATTTTATCACTGCTATGGTTGTGTAAAAATACGCACAAGAAAGGAGACATTTTGCCAGAGGATGTAAATGAGTTATGTTAATTAGTTTGGTTGATGAGTCATTTTTTCCCCCTTTTGAAAATTTGCACATATTCAATACTGGGGTTATGAATGGAATTAAATTAACAGTGGTATAGAATTCTTTTTCTTGGTAAATATTAAAATAGTGCCCAGAACTACTAAAAGAATGAAGTTATAGGCAAACTGTAAAATTATTTAGTGTTGACTTTACAAGAAGTTCATTATAAGTAGAAGAAAGTCTTGAGGCTACAGTACATCCCTTATAGCTTAGAACCAGGGTGTCTGTCATTAAAATTAATATGTCATGATATCTATATTATTGTAGTGAATAGGAGAGAGAACCTTAAAAGAGGCAGGCTTTAAAGGGTAGGACTACTTGTTTTTAATATGACTTCTTTTTATTTTAGAATTGATAGATGTCACGTGTACTCTGCTGCTTCTAAACCCAGATTTTACCACGGCATGGAATGTGAGGTACATAATTTCATAAGTGATAAGATGAAATCTGTCCATATTTCTGAAGATTTATGAGTTATTAGATGTTTGAAAGATGAAATAAGCCATTATGTCCATGACATCCTTACTTATTTCTTCTACCCATTCTTTATATCTCCATGAGAGTTCTGATAAATATGCTGTGCTCCCTTTTGCATGATTTTTATAAAGTTTGTCTGATTTTTATAAATTTTCTTGCCTGAAAATTTTCATGTTGAATTACAATATACTATTTGGTGCATGCTTTTATTTTCCTTCCTTTTGCGGGCAAGGGAGGTATGGGCATCTGGCATAATTGATTGGACTGTAAGACACTGATTAGTACTTTTGAAAAACATTGCAGTGCTGTACAGAGCGTCTGGGATGAAGATTCAAGGCTGCAGTTTTTAGTCTGTTTAGCACTCACATTCTGACTCCTGTGGGCAAATCATTAGAAGTCTCTGACACTTAGCATTTAGAGAAAGATCGTATTATTCATGATATGTTCTTTGAGTCTGATTATTGGAGACTTTAAGTGAAATTCTTACTAGAAATACTATAATTCAGAGCTGAATAATTATTTTCATTGAATTTTTTAGTTATTGTATGTATGTATACACACAAAATTCGTTTAGAGGAAAGCAGAATACAAATTATAAGCAAATAAAAATGAACATTCTGAATTATTTTAAATTTGCCTACAGGAAAGAACTATGGATTACAACTCTTTATCTTTAAAGATAATCTTAATCATACAATTTCATTTTTTGTATATTTTAAGCGAGGCCACATTTTTTAGTTATTTTGTAATACTAACTTTTGTATTTATAACTAATTAAGAACTTTGATATCTTCTTAAAGTCCACTTTAAATAATTAATGGCCAACATGATTAAATAGCTGAACAGTTTTGCCAGGTTCATGTTTTGTAGTTAGGAATTGAAGACTGTTTTCATCTCTTTTGTGGTCTTAGAGGAAATTTAAAATTTATTTTCCCTTCCCAGTCCTCTCTGAAGTTTCTTTCCAAATATCTGAGTCCAAAGAAAAACAGCAAATAAATGTTCTACAGATTTTATGCTTAATAAATCTATTAAATCAGAAAAACAATTAATGGCCAGATTCTAGAGTAAAGAGTAAAATGTATAGAATGAGACATAAGGTTTTAAATTTGTATGTGATTTTAGAGCTCTGATTCTCTGATGGAAAACACTGCAGTAGGTAGGGGATGTTTCTTGAGTGGTTACTTTATTCAGGGTCCGTACTACATTATTTGTTATCTTGTATGATCCATACAGTACTTGAGAACATTTGTTCATTCATTGGATATTTATTTATTATGTATTAACTACTGTGTCCTAAGTTTAGACACAAATAGACCCATGAGCAAAGCATACAAAAGTCCTGTTCTTGGAAAATTTTTATTTTAGTAGTGCATGAAAAGTAATCTTGACATTCAAAAGTAAAATATGTAGATCAAGTGATGGTAAATTCTGTGGAGAAAAGTGAGAAAAGAATGTGGAGAGGTCAAAAAGAGGATGAGGAAGTGGTATTGCACAATTTTGCTTTTTGTAGTACCTAGGGCCTTTGCACAGCTGCATCTCCAGTTCCTCCTCCCCCAACTTTTTGGAAACAGGGTCTTACTAAGTTGTCCAGGCTGGGCCAAAATTTATGAACCTCCTGCCTCATTGTCCCAGAGTACTGAGATTATAGGCTTGTGCCCCCTACTCCTAGGTGGTGTTGCAGTTTTAAATGGGTATTTGAGTAAAGACCAACGCAGACTTAGGAATCAAAGCCTTGGTTTCTGGCGTTAGAGCCTTCCAACTAAAAGGAACTACAGATGGGAAAGCCCTTGGTCATGCCTAAAGTGGCCCTGAGTGTTCTGGGACAGCAAAGAAGTCAGTGTTGCTAGAGTAGCATGAATGAAGAAAAAGTAATAGGAGATGTAGTCAGAGAATAATAGGCCAAGTCTAGCAGTGTTTTGTACATGTTCAGAAGTTGTTATGGTGACTTTGACTTGTAATCTGGGTGAGATAGAAAGTCATTAAAGTTTTCCAAGATGAGAAGAAGGGACAGTAGCTTAGGTTCCTGTGTGGGAGGGAGGTAGACTGTAGAAGTGCCCGATGGAGTGGTTTCGAAGTTTAGGAAGAGGGTGCAGTGATTTACACGAGAGGTGAGGGTGGCTTGAAGAAGAGCTCAGCTGTGGCAACATCGAGTAACTGTAAAATCTGCATAGATTTTAAAGCTATAGATGATGAATTAGCTGTGAAAGAAAGGAATCAGGCTTGACTTTGGTTTTGCCCTGAGCTATTGAAAAGGGAGTTGACTGAAAAGGAAATGTGTAGAAGAGGAACGAGATACTGGTTAGAAGTCAGGAGTTCTGTTGTAGACACACTAGTTTTATGTCCCTCTAGAGGTATATTAATGTAGAAGTTCAGGAGGAAAGTCTGGGCCAGATAAAAATTTAAGAATCAGTTTTAAAGTCATGAAACAGATCTCCAAGGAGTGGTTGCAGATAGCAAAAACAACCAGTTCAAAGTCTGAGCATTGAGATACCTCCAGTATTTTCTGAGACCAGTAGAGTAACCACTAGTTGCTCATTTCTCTTGAGCCCTTGAAATGTGACTAGTCTCCATGGAGATGTGGTAGAAATATAGCACGCCAGATTTTGAAGGCTAAGTATCCAAAACAGTGAAATTTCTCATTATTTTTATATTGTTTATTGAAATTATAATATTTTAGATATACTGAATTATATAAATGTATACAGTATTTGTTTTTAATATAGCTGTTAGAAAAATTCTAAATCACATATGTATTCACTTTGTGACTCACATATTTCTGTTGAGCAGTCCTGTTCTAGATTTTGCAAGATAAGGAAAAATCAGCAAAAAGGAATCTTAGGAAGATACTATGAACTTACAGTGGAGAGCTTTTGAAGGTTAGGAATTGTATCTTTTTTGTTTTGTTTTACTTTGTTGTTGTTTTTCCTTATTTCTCTAATGCCTAACACCTAATATGAAGTTTATAAAAGGAGCACTGAAAATAAATTCAGTGAAAAAGAAATGAAAGTATTGGGGAAGGAAGAGTACCTCATTTTTCATATCCTCATCATCAGGAATTTAAAAACCTTAAAAAAGGTTTTACTTAGCAAGCTAGTCTGTATCCTCACTGCTTGCAAGACTTAGGCAAGAGGATCACAAATTTGAGGTCAACGTGTAGCAAGACCCTGCCTCCAAAAAACAAAAACAAAAAAGAAAAAAACAAGTTCTTGCTAGCATGATGTATGTGGAGACATACATCTATCCACACACATTTGTATAAACATGTACACATGCATTATTCATTAGCTATCTTTGAAACTATTCAGTGTTAGGGAGAGAACCTGGTCTTTAGATCCGTGGAACTTAATTCTGTTTAATCACTTAACTAGCAGTTGACTTTAGCAAAACCTTCGATTTCTCAAGAGTTTTAGAAATAGATTAAGTTTTAGAATTCTTTGAAAACTGACTTTTTATTATGTGTGTGGCTTGGTTTCTTTTTTTTTGTTTGTTTTTTTGTTTTTTGAACTCGGGTCCTTGCACTTGAGAGGCAGGCCACCGAACCGCTGAGCTAAATCCCCGGCCTGTGGCTTGGTTTCTTACGAAAGGAAATTGCTTCATAAATCCCACTTCAGTGATATGCATACCAGTTAATCTTAAAAGATCATTAAAGTTTTGTACTAGAGGAAAAGGAAAGGAATCTTGATTTTTTTTTTTTTAATCTGTTGCAGATGTGTGCTCTGGTAAATTTTGGTTTGTATTAACTGATTAACACAAAAAGGCGCAAAATCATTCCTGCATTTTGAACAAAAACAACCAACCTTGAAAGTAAACTGGTCTAACCTTGTAAGGTCCTTGTTATAAACCAAATGCTCAGTTCTTTGTGGTGTATTTGATAAATTTCTTCTGCAGTGACCCTGGGAGACATTGAATGATTTTGACTGTATTTTACAAGACTTCCAAAGGATGATATCACTATATTCAATCCTTCAGTTAAATTTCTAAGTGTTACAATATTATCAGTGGGAGTAGAATAAATGTTGAGCTGATCTACTGTGATTATAGTAAATATTGCATAGTTTAAAAATCCCCCAGGTTATTAAAAAATGATTGTTTTTGCTTTGAATTTCCTTTGAAAGTTGATGAATTACTTGATGACAGAGGTTGACTTTATAATATTGTCCTTTTTTATGAATTTGTGAACTTAAGAGTAAACAAAACATCTTTGAGCTACTAGAACAGCTGATATCAAGCACCAGTGATTCATATTCATATTGATTTAAGCTGGTAACTTTATATTATGCAGATTTGAGATTTAGTTCTGATGATTTGAATTAGGAATCCTTGAGCAAATTACTGAGCATCTCCGATTGTGTTTTCTTGTATATAAAACTGAGATAATACTAGGTTGAACCATTTGATTTTTGTGTGTGTGTTAGATCAAAAATACTGTCTTGGAATCTCAGCACCTAGGAAATGGTTTCTAACTCCATTTTCTATTAAAGAAACTGGGTCTCTTGGAGGAATAGATGATTCTAGGCTTAGGGCAGAAAGTATATAAGATTATTGTGGTGCACCTTTTGAAAAAGCCGGAAAGTATTCAAAAAAACAATATGGTGGGGTTATATTAAAGGTTCACATAAACCAATTAAAACAGCTTACATAGCAAAAGCTGGAATGATTTCAGCAACAAAATAAATATAGTAGTTTCCCCTCGTGATAGGAGGTGTGTTTCCAAAGATACATAATGGGTTCCTAAAACAGAGAATAATATGTTTTTTCCCTACTAAGGGACTAATGGACTTATGCAAAATGGACGCACTGGACAAAGCAATAATTCAAAACCTGAGCTATGTTGCATGAGGTTTCGTCATGCCATGCAGAACACCATGCCATTTAAAACTTATACATTCTTTCTGGAATTTTCGATTTAAAATATTTGAACTCTGCTTGACCATGAGTAACTTAAACTGTGGATAAAAAAGGAACTACTTTGACATAATTGGGTTTATAACCCAAAATATAAAATAGATACCCATAAGTCCATGCTGACATAAAAGAATCAGTGAATAAATAGGCAGAAGACAAAGGTGCTGTTTATTTATCTAAGTAATCCTTCTAAGAAGGCAAAGCATTATTCACTATTCCTAGGTGTAGGGTATGAACTGAATCAGATAATCATTGACTTTCTTTCAAAAAGTAGTAAAGAAACCTGACATAACATAACCTCAACCATGTAATCCAGGTCATCATCAAAGTGATAAGTCACATTGATTGATTGTGCCCCTGATTTGATGTACTTTACCTCTGTAGTCTTCTTCCTCCAAACCCATAGCCCTAGTTTAATGACAGTAAAAGCATCATATGAAATATCTTACTACTCAGCCATAAAGAACGAGAAGCTAGAGACATTTATAGCTACATCTGTAGCTAGACATTTATGCACATTGAGGACATACTCTTAAGTGAAATAAATAGGACACACATGTGTAAATACTGAATAGTTTCTCTGGTGTGAGAAACTGAAAGTGTAAAAAAGGATCAAAATGTATAATAGATAATGTGAAATAGGAAGAAAAGCTCCGAAGGGGAAGGGGAATTGGGAGGGGTAGGGTAAAGGAAAGAAGGGAAAGGAATAAATATGAGAAAAGTGGAAACAGAGTCTTTGTAAATAGGGAGGGGTAGAGGGGTTAAAGGGAGGGTAGGGGAAAGGGGAACAAAACCAAAATGTATCATGTAAAGGTACAAATTCCAATGATGAATGTCATATTGTATACTTAAAATATACCAATAAATTTAATGAAAAAATTTCTAACCAGTACTCAAAATTATCAAAGCCATCAAAAACAAGATGAGCCCAAGGAGCCTGAGACATAACCAAAATGTAAAATGGGGTCCTGGATAGAACTCTAAAATAAAGAAAGGATATTTGGTAAAAAGCTTTTGAGAAATCCTGAATAAAGTATGGGCTTCAGTAATGTAAGATGTTGACAATAGGGAAACTAGGTGCAGAGTATGTAGGAATTCTCTGTATTGCCCTTAGAACTTTTCTATAAATCTGAAACTTGTAAAATAATTTTTTTTCGAAAAAGATTGCATATTGGCAATTTCTCATAGCCCAACATAATACTTCTTATAGGGTTGTTGTGAGAAGTAAACTAGAGAACATGTAAATCACTTAATAGTAATTAGGGAAAGTGTTCTGTGGATGATAGTTTTTATGAGAATGACTATTGTTATTTCAGACAGAATAAAGATTGGAGGAGAAAAAGATGGCATTTGTTTATTCAGTGTTATGTGCCAAGAACAAAGATAACTAATAGGTCAATTCAGCCTCAATCAAAACAAAGTTCGCAGGAATATGAAAGTATTATACTGTACATCATAGTAAAATAAAGTATAATATACTACTCAACCTTGAAAGTTCCCATGCTTGTGCCTTACTTACAGAACTAGGTGATTTTTCCTAATGAGCAAGAGTTTTCAATGGAAAGTGATGAGAGTTTTTCATATACTGTTTAATTGGTTAAAAAATACATAGCAAATATTTTTTTAAAGTTATCATTTCAAAAATATGCTATATGGAAAACCTCATTGCTTTTATAATTCCACTTTGTATCATTTTTTTACAATTCTGTCTACTCCCTTCTCTCACCTCTTTAAAAATGGCGTCCTCACTTTCATAATTTTTCTCATAAAGTTGTACATGTAGCATATCATTGTTCCTCACCATCGCTGTTCTCTAATCCCAGAGTAATGCAGATGCTTTTTGTACAGCTTTAAAATATTTAGCTTTCACTTCTGCCTTTATTTCAAAATATAGCTGTCTAGTATTTTAAGGGCCGTGCAAGTATTTCATGTGTTACTACCTCTTGGAAACTTATCCTAAAAAATAGATAAGAGAGAAGCTGTGAACACATGGTTTTGTTTTTGTTTTTTCCCATAATTCTTTTAGAATAGCAAAAAGTTGAAAGGAACCTAAATATATGTCTGTAGGGAGAAAGGATATTAAATTGTAGCACATATATTGAATGAAGACCATTTGATCATTTAAAACATTCATTACAAAGGTTACATAGAACCATAGGGAAATACTTAAAATATGATGAGAGCAAGATATAAAATTATACATTAAAAATATAAAAACACAGGAAAAGGTTAAATGGACAGTTTAAACAGTAACTTTAGTAGGATAATCATTCAACGGATGATCATTTTCTTTGCATCTCAATCATACTGTTTGTTTTGACTTTGCTGTGTGTGTGTATAATGAGCTAGACTATATCAAGTCCTATTTAGGAAGCTAGAGCAGTTCATGACTGCTATTAGATACCTGCTGTCTGGACATGTAACTTTTTGAAATGAGAGAGTCAAGAAAACACCTTTGCTGTCATCCAAATAGTTAAAAGTTCCACTGTTGACCTAAGAGAAGCTTTTCTTGTTGCATACTTATTTTGAGATTATGAGAATACATTCTTGATTACTGTATGTGACATTTATGATAGTTTAATACTATACCACAGTGGTTTGGGGTTTTGATTTTCTTTCTTTTTTTTATTTTAATTCTTGGAAATTGAGACTTCATAATGAGGTTGTATTGAAAGTCATGCAGAATGTTTGAATAGAAGGATAATGTAATGCTTTTCTAATTTTTTTCTTTTACAGGAAAGAATTGATCCTTTCTGGTACTTTAAATCCAATTAAAGACTTACATCTGGGAAAATTGGCCTTAACAAAGTTTCCAAAGAGTCCAGAAACATGGATTCACAGGTGTGATAATTATAGCCTAGTATTTGTGTTTAGAATTGAGGATGGCTGGAGGAAGGAGCAGCAAGTGAAACAGGATCTCACGTTGGTTCACAGCATAAATTTTAAAGTTCATTATCACGTTTAAATCTAGGGGCTGTCATTTATGCTCATGGGAAATTAGCCTCTCCAAGTTCTCAGTTTTCTTATTTGTAAAATGGGAGTAGTAATTACACCTGTCTCATAATTCAGTGTAAATGATATGATGATACATGTAAACACTACCATAATTTCTGGCACATATGAAATGCTCAATAAATGTTAGCTATTATTAACTACACTTAAGTGTACATCCACTGGATGTCAGTAATTCTTAATATTTTGTTGTTAAAACTTTCATTATTTAAAAATAATCACTTACTCAATTTTTTCTACCTTCAGGTTGAAGACTTTTAGTCTGAAAGAGTGCTTTCATAAAATATTTGTTCAAACTAAAGACATTAAGTAATTATATATATACTTTTTTAGTGCTTTTGATTTAATGCTAATGCAAATCTTAAACAGACAAAAGTCTCTTCAATGGTTTAGCTAATTGTATTATATATGTTTTCTTCCAGATTTTATGCTGTAATGCAGAAATTTTCCTTAATTAAAGCTGTCAAAATGCAGTTTCTTATTTGCAAACAAACATATGGGGTGAGGCAGGCACATTTATTTGAAGACATGAACCATGACTTTGCTCCTAATATTTACCAACCATTAATTACAATGATACCTCCATTCACGAATTTAATTTGTTATACAATTTTGGAAAAGATGGCCATGTTTGTGTTTTTGTGGGAAAGATGGCCATGACTGTCACCCAATGTAGTGTTTACAAACAAAAACAAAATCTTGTCAAATGTTTTAGAAGCATTCACAAACCGAGGTAGCACTGTAATACTCTGTCACTGCCACTAGCACCACAAAAACATACAGACCAGCTGCCTTTGTGTTTTCTGGCCAAATGAAGTTTGGGTGTTGTCATTTAAGAACTGATGACTTTCTCTTTTTGACAGATTTTAAAGTTATAAAAAGGTTTCTCTATCCTGTTTGCCCCCCTTAATTCATGCTGCAGAATTTGTTTTCGAAAACAACAAAGCACTAATCTCTCCTTACCATCTCCAAACCTGGACTTAATATCTAGGCCTTACTTTTGCATTGTCTATGTATGGAAATTAAATTGAGAACAAAGAAAACTGGTTATTTTCTGCTCTGGTTTATGGTCGTTGGTTTATGCTCTTCTTTCCTGCATGCTACCTTAACAGGCGATGGGTGCTACAACAGCTAATTCAGGAAGCTTCCTTGCCTTCCTTTGTAACCAAAGGAAACTTGGGGACAATTCCTGCAGAGAGGAAACAGCGACTAATACAGGAAGAGATGGAGGTCTGTGGTGAAGCTGCAGGGAGATACCCAAGCAACTACAATGCCTGGTCCCACCGCATCTGGGTTTTACAGCACCTGGCTAAGCTGGATGCCAAGGTAGGGCTATCATTATGCAGTCTCAGTGCACCCTGCTAGTGTGCTGTTTGTTTCTGGTCATAGTTCATCCTCAGAAGAGCTTTAAAGAAGTAAAGTAGAGAAGTAATGGTCCAGCAGCTCAAGAGGATCCTGACTCCAGAGATTCCCCAGAAATTGCAAAGAGTTTAAATTCCCCACCACTGCAATTGCGGGCGCTGCTGAGGCTGGTGCATTGGGAGAACAAAGACAGATTAAACCAGTAGAGAAAGACTGAGCACATCTCACTTTGCTCTGAAACAGGAAGAAATTATTTCGCCTTTGAGAATTGAAATTATTTCTCAGTACTCTCTCTGTATGTGATTCAATTGCTGAGTCCATTGACTATCTTTTCACGATGTTCTGACCTGGTAGGGAGGGCCGCAGGGAATAGAAGATCTCACCCAGGTGTTCCCAGACATGGCAGATCCTATAAATTTTCCTAGGGATTCCTAAGTCTCATTACAGGTGAACTAAATCAGAGCGAGGATGGATTTAGAGATCAGTATTCTCCATAGGTTCAGGGGGTTATTTGGATGCAGAGTCAGGCTGGGAACTCTCTTGAACTAATCTTTGCAGTTTAGAAATGAGAAGATGGAAGTTTCCAGAGAATTTTAATGGCTTAGACTCAGCTACTGTTCATTGTTCATCAGAATGGGAGCCAGGTATCCCTTGTGCACCTTTTTATGTATTAAAGTACGGCAAATTTTTCTTATGATATTACAGTGCTGTAAGAATGCTAGGGTAGTTTTTAAAAAGTTTCACAGGCTTGGAATAGTTTTAAAAGGGCAAGTTGAAGGTCAGAGTGCTCCAAGTAATGTTTTCAAATTCATAGGGAAGCTTTCTCTGACTTTACATAACTACCTCCTTCCTATATCTCTCTTCTTAGGTTCCTTTCTCCTCTTTGTTTCCTAGCCAGAAATTCCTCCAGGGCAAATAGAGAAATTTTTACTTGAAGAGGGTTTTAAACCAACAATTTTATAAGAATAGCCCTCTCACTTAGAATTAATATGCCTGTGGGCTTCCAGAGGAGAAGCCACATAACAGAGAACAAAAAGCAAAGCATATAGGTCACATCAGCCTGAGTTCAGATTCTGACCCTACAGACTGTATGGAAAGTAAAGCTTTAATGTTCCATTTTTAATGTAAGGACTTTGCTGAGAATGATCAGAGTTAGTGTGTGGAAAGTACTAGGCACCTCACTAAATTTTAGTTCCTTTCTCTGCTCTCCCATAGATAGAAAGTTTAGGTGAAGTTGGCTGCCAGTTTACTTGATAAGGTCAGTGCCATGTATTTGTGAAAAGGTGCCAGAACCCTGTCTTTCCAAGCCACTTGTCCTGTGTATTGGGTATAGCAGTAAAGACAATGAGTTTGGTCTGAACAAATTAAACTAGGATGAAGACCATCAGTTACAAAGCAGCATGACACTTAAAAGGGCTGAGGGAAGCTCATGGTACAGTGGACACAGAAATGACTTCATTTTCCTGAAGCTCATTGGAAACACTTGTCTCAAAGGTCTGGAGGAGCAAATAGAAGTTGTTAGGAAAAATGGAGTGCTTTAGAGCTGGTTGTCTCAGCTTCACAACTTCATATTGAAGAGATAAGGGTAGGAGGATTGGGAATCAGAAGGAAAGCCAGAGTTCAGGTAAGCTAAGAGGTCTTTTTCCTCCCATGATGTGGACCTTTCCATGTGGTATGCCCATAAAATCAGGAACAAGGGGCCAAGGTGATGTTGGTTACTCAAGACCATCTGATGTTAAAGATGACAACTCATCAGTCAGTAGGGTGTTGGCTTAGCTGCTTGTGTCTGCTCCTGAGCACGTAATCTGCCTTCCTTGACCTGTCATTGGGGGGATTTGCCATTCTTTCTGTCACTGCCACTGCTGCTGTGTCTCTTGTTTTCAGTAAAGGATGCTAAATTTTCAAAATCATCTTCTATTGGTATAAGCCAGTGATGGCAAACCTAAAGTTTTCAGTGATAGCAAACAGCCCTCTGTGGCGCATGTGCTATAGTAGGTTTACTACCACAGCTATGAGGCGTTGGGTCCAGCTAGGAGAACACATCTGCTCTGCTTTGTCTAGTAGGGAAGTAATTACAGAAGTACCAGTAGTCTAGAGCAACTTAAATATGAAAAGTAAAATGAACTGGCATTTTTTTTTCTCAAAAAAAATGTAAATGATTTTTTAAAGTTTTACTATCCACTATAGTAAGGTATGAAAATGAGCATTGTAAAAACTTAAAATCTTACTGAAAGGCAACATGGCAGCATTTAATAGACTTAAAAAGGGGAAGGTATCTTTAACAATTCTGCTTCCAAGAATTTCTCCTAGAAAAGTAATGGGAGAGACAGTATGGTATAATGAATGAGGACTCTCCCTAGTCTCATAGACCTTGCATCCTGGCTTTATCACCAGCTTTTCTGTGTAGCCTTGGGAAAGTCACCTATCTTCTTTAACATTTGGCTTCTTCCTTTGTAAAACAGGGATGATGAAAATTCCTCACTCATTCAGTCATGCACCTTGACTGGAAGGAGCCACATAAATTGGCTACTACAGTGCTTTTACTAAGTGCTCAATAAACATTGGCTATTATGTTAAACATGAAGGGTTAGTATATAAAAGCAGGTTTATAATAGTAGGTGTGTAAAACTAGAAAGACCCTCTAAGAGTGAGGGATTAGTTATGTTATAAGTCTATCACAAAGTGGAATATTATGGTGCTACTAAAAAATTATACTTTAGAAAGTTATTAAAAATTCACAATAGGTGAAGGTTATAAAACATCACATAATTTTAATATTTATTAGCATTAAATGAGACAGTGAACAGTGTTTAGAACAGTGCTTGGCATAAAATAAATGTTCAATATATATTCATACATATAGTGTTATGAATATTTTTTTTAGTCAGGAAAACTGTTTAGAAAGTAAAGAATGGTGAGTAGTACTATGGAGTAGGATTATAAGACTTTAATTTTCTATTTTACATTTTTCTATGATGTATATATGTTTAAATGAATATACATTTAAGCTAGGTATAGTGGCATCCACATGTAATCCGAGCTATAATTCCAGCACTCAAGAGATTTAGGGAGGAGGATTGAGAGTTTGAGGCCAGCTGGGCTACAACAGAGAGTTCAAGGCCAACAAGGACTACATCATAGCAAGACCCTGTCTCAAGTAACCAAAATAAATACATATTTAAATAAATTTTAAAATAATGTTCGTTTTGAGGGTAGGGTAGGAGGAAAGACTCACAGCCAAGCAGAATTTATTACTAGCCAATTAAAAGTTGATATAGTATGTCAACCGAAGAAACACATAAGGTCATTTCTTCAGAAAGTATTTACAGGTGTTTATGGTTTGTAAGAATATACAATGTTACAAACACTATGGAAAGCAATTTCGCATTTCCTCAAAAACTTAAACATAGGATTAATAGATATGAAAAAAATAAATCGTCACAATATATTCTTGAAAAAAATTACCATATTCTTCTATTACCTGGAATATAACCAAGAGAATTGAAAACATTTTCATACCAATACTTGTATGAGAATATTTATAGCCAAATTATTTATAATATCCAAAATGTTTATCATCTGTGCAAAAGGAACCAAAATGTGATACATACATTCATATAATGGAATACTGGCCATAATAAAGAGAAGAAATACTAAATGGGTGAACCTTGAAACATTGTGCTGATTGAAAGCAGCCAAATTGAAAAGGCCACAAATTGTGTGATTCCTTTTATGTAGTATGTTCAGAATACACAAAGTAGATTTATTGAGTGGCAGCAACTGGGGAAAAGGGAATGTGGAGTGACATCTAAGAGGATCATTTTTTGGCGGGGAGAGTGATAAACTTTTAAATTAGTTAGCAGTGATGTCTACATTAACACTGAGTATATAGTTTTTATATACTAAAAACTACTGATTTATTTTTCAACTTCAGAAACTGATAAAAGTTTTAAAAATAGCTAAAAAATAGTTTTAAAAAGACGAAAACACTATGTCATTAGATATTTAAATGTTTAAGATACGGTAATTAAAACTATGCTACTGTTTTAAAAATAGTAATGAAAAAGAATATAGAACTCAGAAACAAATCCCATTATATATTATCTGTAGACTTCTGAATGATGAATATGAAAAAAAATGTTTCTACAATTAATGATGCTGATAAAAATTGATTGGCTTAGATTTTTTTTTTTTTTTTTTTTTTTTTTGGTTGTTCTGGTACTCAAATCCAAGGCCTTTTGCATGTACGCAAGCATTCTACCACTGAGCCACACCTGCTTCTCTTGAGTGACTTTTTAGAAATAATTTAGTTAGGTTTTTAATCTATCAGTATACATATAATAAAACTGTAATCTTAATGGATTAAAACTTATATGTAGAAAACAGAGACCTGGAGGACGTTAGGCTAAGTGAAATAAGCCAGCCAATGCTACAAAATCATCCTTGTATGTGGAATATATAAGTAAGCAGTTGAACTCATAGAAACAGATTATGAAGTAGTAATTGCCAGGGGTGAGAGAGGGAGTGAAAAATGAGTTACTAGGCAAAGAGTACAAAGTTTCAGTTAGGATGAAAAAATTTGTAACTATTGTACTGCATAGTGATTATAGTTAAAATCAATTGCAATAATATAGTCATAGAAATATTTATAGCATATGTGATAACTGGTAGATTAAAATGAACATGATTTTTTACTTAGCAAAGTAGTGAAATATTGCTGAGAAACTTAGGAAATAGGCATTAAAATGTACTTCCAATAGAAATATAAATTATACAACCTTAGTAGAGTATATTTTGATAGTACACATAATGACCCTTATAGTAGTGTACTCTTTATTCCAGCAAGTATACATCTAGAAATTTCTGTTGAATAACTGGATAGCACATAGGTTATAAAAGACTAGAAACAAATAGGAGAATAAATTGTACTTAACTTTAGGATTAAGCACTATGCAAGAGTTAAAAGTTATAATGTTTAATGCCATAATTTCTTTATAAGTGGAACAAAATCTATGAGTATTCCAAAGTTGCGTTAAAAATAAACTCTTTGTATATGCATGTGTAAAAGAAGCTGATAGATTGGTTTTATGGCAGAGTGTTGAAAATAGGGATCTGTGGCTGAAAGGATAATGGGTGATTTTTGTTTGGCTTTTCTATATTCATTTTATCACTTTTATGATTAGAAGACAGAACAAATATTTTTTAAATGTAAGGCTGGTAACATCTATTTCCAGTATTCCTTTTAAACCTCTTATTCCTCTGTTTCATATCCATGCTTCTATAGTTTTCTTTCTTATATGGAAGTTGGCAAAGAATAAATATATTTAAAGTATATGATATAAAGACATTCATTTTGTCAGTACCTTAACCTTTGAGTTATAGCTTTATATGTCTTTAGGATGACTTAAAAGTAATTACTGTCTTTTGCCTTTATCTGTATACTTTGATGTTCTAGTAAGAAAATGCCCTGAAACTCCAATTAAAGTTTCTTTATTTAATAATTCATCCTTTCATACCTTAAGAAAAAGGATATAGATTTTTTTCTGAAAAAGCCATAGTTTTTTAAGAAATTAAATTGGTTTTGTTGAAAATCTTTCATATATGTGCTATTTTTGCCTCAAAATTGAACAATAAGTTCTAATTTTTCTATGAAGAAATATCTTATAAGACAAAGTTTTTCATATTACGTGAGTTTATTTTAAATAACTAGTCATTTCAAACCAGATTGAGAAGCCATACCAAAAGTAAAAAGCTGCTGAATTATAGCCTAGGTGTCTGCAAACTAATTCTTCAGAAATGTAATAACATTGAATTAATTTGTTTTTGAGGCAGATATTTATTTGGTGCTATTTTCAATCACCTTATAAAATTAAAGAAGTGATCTTATTGTCAGTTTCTCAGATTTTATTGCCTCTAGAGATAAATTTAGGTGGTTATATATAAACTCATTAGAACTTAAAGGAAATATTTAAAACATTCCACTGATAAAACTTGAATGTGCTGACTTCAAGTATCTTACTGCTTTGTGCTTGTGACCTCCTTCATTAAATCATTCATTCATTTATTCATAAAGCATTTATGTATCCAATCTGCCAGAGGGAATAGAGGCATGAAATCATTAATTAGGAATGAAAAAATACTTGAAGCATTAAAGAGAGAGAGAGAAACTAAAGTGCCTGCAGAATTTTGGGGGGAATGAAGACATGTATAGAAAACACTTCTGTGTATGTAGTGGATCCTATAAGGGCTATGGAAGTTTAGAAGAGTGAAAGTTCTTGGAGCAAAGAAAAGGAGTATGTGGAAGGAGGAGTGAGGAAGAAGGCATTTGCCTGGGACCTTTCACAAGCATGTGAAGACTTCACTGGCATTGTGCTATCTGTATGTTCACAAGTTTATGTCTTCTTTTCTTTTCTTTTTAAGGTCTGAAAATTTTCTGGCAGAACGTGATCAGCTCTTGATAATACCTTTCACTGATCAAAACTCACTTTATGTTTGCTGCCTGTCCAAGACAGTACCAAACAATTTTTTTGTAATGCAGCTTTTCTTTAGTTTGCAGGATTGGTAATATAAAGCTTTGAACAATTTACTGCTGAATTGTATCAGTTTTAAAAAACATTTATCATTTATGGTGAGTTTAGGGCAAATAGTGTTCATTATTATTTTAGAATTTAGCTTTTCTCTATGTGCCAATCAAAATGGGAATAGTCAAGGGGTGGGGATTTAGCTCAGTGGTTCAGCCGCCTGCCTCACAAGTGCAAGGTCCCAAGTTCAATCCCTGGTACCAAAACAAATAAACAAAATGTGAATAGTCAAGATCAAGGGGAAAAATGACAAATTCTTAATTCTGTGGTTTAAAAAACCTTTTGGGCTGGGGTTTTAGCTCAGTGGCACCGTGCCTGCCTTGTAAGCATAAGGTCCTGAGTCTATCCCTGGTACCAGGGGAGCGGGGTGGGGGGGCCAGAGAAATCACTATTACTTTATAAAGGAGAAGAGACATTAGTATGTATTAAGCTTCTAAATGACAGTGCTGTGCTTGACAGTGTATACAAAACACTAATGAGAATGATTGTCAAACAAGGAATAAATAAAGGAGAAATCAGAAGTGTTAATGGAGAAAGAAAAACCTTTGGAAATTATTCTCACTTCCCTTTTTCCTTCCTACAAGATTCTTCGTGATGAACTATCTTCTACTAAACATTGGGCATCCATGCACGTTTCAGACCACAGTGGATTTCACTACCGCCAGTTTTTGTTAAAGTCTTTGATTAGCCAAACTGTGATAGATGATTCTATATTAGAGCAAAACTCTTTGAAAAGTGAGTCAGCTCTGGTTCTTCCAAAAGATGAAGAAGCATCGTCTTCAACAGAGGAACCAAGGATAAATCTTTCCCATCTTCTAGAAGAGGAAGTGGAATTCAGCACTGATCTTATTGATTCCTACCCAGGACACGAAACCCTTTGGTGTCATAGGTAAGAGAAGGGGCAAGGGCATTTCCTATATGAAACTTGGCATTTTCTTGTGAGAGGTGCAGATGTTGTTATATCTGACTTCTGCCTTTTTGTGAATTCTGATCATCTGATTGTGGAGCTATGACAGAGTGAGAAGGGCTTTGTGTTATCATCATTAGCAGTGGCAGCATGAAGCTCCTCATTGAGATCTTTTCCTGTGGCTTAGGGTAGTGGAACCTTGATTCTGCAGCAGAATAACCTGTGTTATTTCCAAAATAAAAAGCAAGAAAAACAAAACCAAACAGAAACAAAGATTTCTGGACGACTTCTTGAGATGATATCCTGACATTTAGCATATCTAGAATGAAGTGCTGCCATCTGTTTTGTGTGGTGTTTTTGTTGTTGTTGATTGTTTGTTTGTTTGTTTTTGGTACCAGACATCGAACTTGGGTCCTTGCACTTCTGAAGGCAGGCCACAGAACCACTGAACTAAATCCCCTCCGCTTTGTTTTGGGTTGGGGGGGTTGGGGGGGTTGAGACAGGGTCTCACTATGTTTTGTTTTTTAAAGAGAAAAGCTTTACAGATAGTTTTGATGTAGTCAAGATTTAGATTATTAATTACAGCCTGAGAATGCAGCTTGCTTCCTTTATTTATTATTTAGGAACCTAATGGTTTTAAGAATAATCTCAGTGTTTTTTTAAATACTTAAAATGTTAGAGAATTTTTCTTTGGGTGCAGGAAGAGACTAGTTTTGAGTACATTTGACAGTAATGTAAATTTTACATTGGAATGAAGTTCAGATATATGGACACCTTACTTCAGTTATTTGGGAGTTTTTCTATTTAGAGGTATCTCCCATCTTCATAAATCCAGATTCTACTTCAGGCTATAGGATATAATTTTCAAACAGAAGGCTTGTACTGAGCAAGAAGTATGCATTTTTAAAAGGTGTGTATTTCTTAAGTTATTAAAAACTCCCTCCCCGACCTTTCTTCATTACAGTCTTTCTTGTAGGCTATTTGAGGAGATTTGGGCAACCTCATTTCCATGCTAAATATATTCAGAAGGTAAAAGTCAGCTTCTCCTTTTTGGCACCTTCATAAATAGGGAATTCTCTCTTTCTCTTAATATCAAGACTATTAATGCACATTTCCAAAAAGAAGATAGATCTTAACTTGAAATCGTTTTGGTGTTAAAAGATCTTTGTTGCTGTTCTGTGTTTAAGCATTTTAATAGCAAGACTTGGGGGATTTGAGAAAACATTTACATAATAAAGGTTAACATTGAAGTCAGGCAATGGTACATTATACATTCCCTTTTTACTCTAGCATATGCAGGAAGTAAATGAATAGAGTTATCTTTTAGGGCCTTAGAGCTAATAATACAAATGATGAAATGTAACTTAGAACCTATGTAGTTTACCATGTTGTGTATCATAGATCTCCCACTCCCAAATTAAAGTTTATTTATAGATTAGACACAGGGGTCTTAATTGTTAACAGACAGTTCTAGGTGATTCTAAGGGCAGAAATACTCTCCTTGGTAGGAAAAGAGGAACTATATGCTTTAACATGCTTTCTTCAAAGTCAAGCACATTTTAAGAATAGTGATAGATTTAGAAGAAAATTCTGTTGATTTTTAGATAGACCAACAGCAGCAGATGTATTATTGTAACTTTAAAAGGATTGGATAAAGGCCATGAACTAAGCCTCTAGAGAAACCATCTCTAATTTTTGACTCACTTGTCTTTTAAACATCAGTGTGGTATGTTTTTTGCTTTATTTATATAATAACAAGGCATATTGAGCTAAGATCTGTTTTTACTTTCATATTTTAGTTACCAGGGAGTAACAGTGCCAGGTCATTGTTTCCATCTCAGTAAATGCTTATTGAAAAACCTTTAGAGCAGTAGTCTTTCTCACAAACCAGTAAGCTAGGTTGAAGGCCTTTGTCCAGATACCTAGAAGTTTCATTTCAACTGTTTTTCCTCCTTCCCCCAGATATCTTGAGGTGATGAAGTGGGCAGCAAATTCCATACTGTATATTTTGAAATTACCAACTTCTTCCTCCAGAAAAATTTGACTTTTTCATGTGATTTTATTTTCTTCCTTCCCCTCATAGGCGGCATATTTTCTATCTTCAACATTACTTCAGCAGGAGGCTTCCTCACAGCACAATACAGCTGTCACCTGCAGACAGCCCTGGGGAAACATTGAGTGACTTGCACCTCGTCCCTGGAGGTCCCCATCTATCTCTGGCAATGGAAGTGGATGGCCTGAATGACTGTAGCAAGCAAGGCTATTCTCAGGAAACCAAACGCCTGAAACGGACCCCAGCTACAGACTCCGTGGGCCTAGAAATGGAGCACAGATTCATTGATCAAGTGTTATCTACTTGCCGGAATGTAGAACAAGCCCGGTATGCCAATGCATACAGGAAATGGCTAGTCACTTTGAGGCAGTGAAAGAGGTGGATTAATCCTGCAAGGTTCCCCTTTTAGTGCAATATCGCTCTCCTATCTCATTGACATAGTTGCATGAATTTTGCTATTGCTGGCTTTGTTCCTCTCCTTTAGGTTAAAAATCCTTAGAAAATCTTTTATTTATTTTAAGTTGGCATTCCTTTGGAGATAAAATAATTATGTAATTTCTTCCTGCTAAATAGTCTTTTTCTTTTTTAACTCTTTATCCTTTATATACATGGGGCTTCTCATCTCTGCCCACTTCAGTTCAGTTGCTACATATGCAAATTTTAAATAAATTAGGAGTTTATGTATGTTGTGTTTCAGCTGAAGAACATAATACAGATGCAAAAGGACTTGATCTTACTGTTGTTTTGAGACTCAAATGGCTAGATTAATGGATATGTAAAAATATAAACCAGTTTTCTATCTCTGGCATGTTTTATTCAAGTTATAGATTAGGATAGCCAAAGTCAAAAGTATTGGCACTTATATCAAAAACTGCCTCCAATGTAATCCATTTTTAAATAGTTACTTTAAAGGAAGGGGGTATGTAATTACAGTACTGGAAAATTAATTTTATTACTATTTTTAATAGATTGTTTTACCTCATATTTGATATATGCCAAAACAGTCAAATCAGCCCTTACAAAATAAATTTTTAAAATCCCAGAATGCCATTTTTAGTTGTTGCTGCCTTTTTCCTTCCACAATCATATAAAGCAAAAAATACATAGAAATGTATTAGTAAAAATTTGCCTTAAAAGTTAAGTTATTGAGGTTATACTGGATAAACTTCAAAATTTTTTGTCAAGTGATTATTAAACAGTTTGTTGGCAAAAGCTGGAGGAAAGAACAATTTTGGAGATTAGTTCTTCAATTTTAAAATGAAACAAAATACCTTGAAACTGAATTTTATCAGGGATGCCATACCAAAGTATCCACATTATGTCTGTATTTCATCTTTTCAATAACAAGGGCTCAGTTTTTCAGGTTGGTAACATGGGGATGGGAGGAGGATCAGGTACTATCTACGTTCTTACTATCTTTCCCCCTTTATAAAATGGTTTGTTTCTTCTTTGCAAATATCTTTTTCTTTATTTTACCTATCCCACATATTTTTTGTCACTTTCATGTTTGTATATTTTCTGTCTTCTGTCCTAATTTCAGAAATTTCTACTGAAGCTGTTAACGCTATTTCATTTAATTTTGTATATCTACACACACACACACACACACACACACACAGGAAATTAGAATTAATCGCTACCCCTCTAAAAGTTCCTATAAGAATGGAAGTTGTCTCTTGTCTTATGCGTGTGTAAAATGTGAATAATAGTTACAGTACTAAGTGTGACCACCAGGCTTTCCCTATTTTTCTAGTCTGTGGGATGGGTAGAAGGATGTAGGAAAGTCAAGCCTTTCCTGTCTCATTCTTGTGGAAAGTAGACTTGAGTTAGATTCACTCCTTTAAGGGAAGAGGAATAAGTGCTTTACTTCGTCATCATAGTATTTTGAATGGCAGACTGTTGAACCTAAGTGGCACACTTAAGAACACCAAAAAAATTATCTAGCTTGATTCCAATAGACAAATTTAGTCTTCCTTCTTAGGGCAAAAAATACTTATTATAAAGTGAGGAAATAATTGCCATTATGAACAAAATCCTTTTGCCCCTGGTACAAAGCATATTATGAATCAAATACCTCAAGGCCTGTGTAGACCTCTGTAGATAAAACCATTAGATTTATGATTTTTAGTGCCTGTAGAGGTTGGGTAGAAACTACACAGGGAAGACACAGGAGGTTCCATCCATTCCAATAATACGTGTTGCCAAATTCTGGCCTTATTCAGTATTACCTTTTTTCTAAGCGTCATTTTTAGTATTCCCAAAATAGGGCTTCTTATACTTTGACATGAGTACCTGTCAGGACATGATTATAGATTATATTATATGAACATTAGCTAAATTTTTGTAGTATTCCCTGCCTTTTTTATACCTTTCGTTCAGTAGCTTTCAGTATCCTGTCCATCTCATGTTAACCACCTTTTTATCTTCTAAGGCTTACTCAACCCACCGCTTTCTAAAGCCATGTAATCCTTTAATGTAGCTTGGTGTCTTTGTCTTCCTAGTAAAGTTTTAAGTAGGGGGTGAAAAATACAAATATCCAAAGGATACTGTTAGTATGTGACTTTTGTGTGCTACTTTATTCTAAACTATGCATTTCTTGAGTGTTCATTCGCAAGAAAATTTATAATTGTCCTATATAGTTGTGGCTTTTTCCTAAGTGCTTGACATTTAAACTCACTAACATCATAATACTTCTCTGACTAAATGACCTCATGCAGTAGAAAGAATATTTCTCTTTTCAGGAGCTTGTTAGTCTTTATTTTTCTGAATGTATGTAGAGTTATTAAAAGACTTGGCACACATTTCATCAAATTTCACTGGAAGAATAGCAGGGCATCATACCATCCTGTGGGTCACTAATAGGTACTGACAAACAAAAAGCAATAAGATCTGTAACTATTGCCACCATAACCCTTGCCCTACCTTTTTTTTTTTTTTTTTTT